GATCTGGCAGATGAGTGATAGGAAACCAGTTTTAAAAACTAGTTTAAGACAAGTCTAGGGAAAACCTGGGAAAAACCAATACCTTTATGACATAAATCAGTAGAACTACAAAAAAAAAAACAAAACAAAAAAACAGTGTATGCCAGCATGTGTACAAACATGACATATTTGTGTGATTAAAGGAAGTAAAGTAGGACCAATACATCTATTTTAAGTAATTTTTCATAAAACTACTAGAGTTCTACAAAGAAGTAAAAAATAATGTGTACTATGGTTTTCATTAACAATGTTTACTTGAATTTCCAAAACACAATTGATGAATCTATCATTCTTAAGTCTTAAAAAACCTAGACTCCCAGAGGATAAAAATAAATGCCCTTGCAAGGAGAAATAATTGGAAACAGATGGTAGGACACTACTGTCAATTTTTCAAGTGGAGAGAGGTCAATGGTGGAATCCTGCAGGGATCTGTGCTGGAACTTGGGAGCTGCTGGCTTATTTATAAATGAGCTGGAAAACAGGATAAATGGCGAGGTGACAAAGTTAGCTGCTGATACTCATTCAGGGTAGCTACAATAAGGGTTGACTGTGAAGAAAGACTTCACAATACTTAGTGACTAGGCAATAAAAAGTCAAATTAAAGTCAGTGTAGATAAATATGAAGTCATTTCTTTAAGGGGAATAAAACCAACTACACAAAATTATGTGCCCCAAGGTGATTATTACCACTCCAGGACTGAGATCTTGGGGTTATAATAGACAGTTGTGTGAAAACATCAGCCCAATGTTCAATAACAGGGAAAAAATGAGTATTACTAATTACTAGGAAAGGAACAAAGAACGAAAGAGAGAATATTATTTAGTCACTGTATGAATGGCTTGTCTGTCTTGAATATCGTGTGTAGGTCTGGTCCCACAGATTCTGAAAAGATGGAGTATTCTGGAAATGGCTATGGGCAGGGCAGATGGAATGATCACAAGTTCACTACAACCTAACAACTAAGGACTAACTAAGAAGCCAAAGGTCCCAAAAGCAGGTAACTGAGGGGATACAGCAAAGGTGTAATCAGAGCCAGGACAAGGAATTGTGTCTCCATGTTCCCTATTCACAGGCTCTTCCAATGCATGAGATGAGAGGATGAAGTGAAATGGGTAGGCACAAGATTTAAAACACAAACAACATTGAATCTTCACACAACACGTATCAAGCTGTGGAACTCCTTGTTCTAGGGCACTGTGAATGCTAAAAGTTTACACAGGTTCAAAATGCAACCAAAGTCTCAAAAAACAAAATCCAGCAAGAGCTTTTAAATGGCAAGATCCATCTGAGGAAGTCCCTGAATACAAATGCTGAAGAACCAAAAGCACAGAGTGCAAAATGGGCTTTAGCTGCTCTGATGCTTTCGTGGGCCCATGTTACAGACCACTGTCAAAGATCACTAGACTGTGGTTTTCTAAAGTACAGAGCTTTTATGTTCTGTTCAATGGTCCTCTTACTGTGAGCATGGGCTCAGGCATCTCTTGAAAAACCTATATATTGATTTCATCCTGCTTGTCCATGGGACACTCCTATGTTTTCTTCTGCTTTCCTTACTTTTTTCTTTCTTATAACTCGAAACATCCTAGTAAAGGAAAAAAGTAATGACAAATATAGTGAAAAAAATCATGACAGAACAAAAGTGTTTAATTTTTTTAACCTATAAAGGAATAAATTTCAAGAATTATCTTTATTTGTGAGGTTTCCTGTAAACTTGAGGTATAGTATAACAAAAAACAATAGTACCTAATTCCTAATGATTTAAAGAGTTTGTGATCGTGCAGCTGCTCAAATTAGGTGAGTGCATACTGCTTGTACCTATGATTTTGCAGTTTCAGAAGAGGAGGTTAGGGGATGGAGAAAGAGGCTGCAAACACTGGCTCTCAAAGTATCAAGTGTACCCTGACAGCATTATGCACATGCAACAAAAAAGGCAGTCTAAGCCATGACTAAATCATAAAACTATCTAATCTATTCTGCACTCACGTACACACAGGAAATACATTTTTTCTTAGGATTTTTCCTCTTTGTCATGTCATAGACCTGTCTAGTCATAGACATGATTAGATAGCAACAAGGACTGAAAGTGTATGTGCCCAAGATACTGTTTATCTTTTTCTTACTTAATAAACACAATTTCAAAACAAGAGCTATATCATACTGACAATTTATAATGACTCATGCAGGACAGACTGTGATCCAAATCTTTCTTTTAAAGAAATCAGTTCCTAAGCTTTCATTTGCAATCCTAAACCAAGCATGATTCCACATTGGAAAACTGATTCTAACAAGATTTAAATTATATCAGTCTTAAGTATTATATTACCTAACCAAATGCTAACACTATGAAAGTACAAAATAGCAAGCAAAATCAAAGCTATATTCACCTGCTTCCTTATTTCATTACTTCAGATTCAATTTTGTTCCTGTACTACACAGAACTACATGCATATGTAGATGACATTACTATATTTTTTGTGAGATAAGCATTTTAGGATTACTATTGTATATTACTTATACTTTCAAAACAGTAAACTAATAACAGAAGTAGGTCATATAGCTCAGAGAAAACGTATCATTATAACACTCCTGTCCTGCACATTTTACTCTGTTTCCTTCTGTCCAACCACCTTTGTTTTCTTCAAAGGATATGACACAAAACAGTATGAACTTTATGACAGTTCCTTCTCCCTCGAGGAAACTTTTTTAAGTAATACAGAAATTAACAGTGAGGTAAATACTGAATTAAAACATCCAGCAAAAAATAAAGTCAGGTTTTTTCAACAGCCAACAGACATTGTTCTAGTTCTTCCAGGGCATTTGTGTACAAATTGGGAAAGACAGCAAACAACCACTTGGCTATGCATGTATTCCCTTACTAATTTTGGAGGGAAGCAGTCTGAGAAGTGATTCTTCTGCTGACATAAAGCTCCTTTTGTTGACTTTTAATGCCAACAGTGCATCTACCAGCTTTGGAGATGACAAAAATTCTGTGTTCTTTGCCTGAAAAGGAATCTCCAGTCACACCTGCACATGTGCAGCATGGTATAGACTGGAGTCCAAGAGATCAGTCACATATGGTGGTTTCTTAATATTCACCTGTACAGAAACACAGTAAAGGAATCAGATTCATTTTATCTGCCTTGCACTAGCACCTCTGGGCATGAAGTAGTACAACCATAGATGTTGATGCTGGAAAGTGCAAGGGATTTGGAAATTGTGCTGTTCTACTGCACACTGGACATGAAAAAAACATGCTGAAATGCATCAAAACAGTGAATATTAATGGCACCTTTTAGCAGCAGAGCCATAAGAAGAGGTGACAGATGAAAGCAGAAGTCCTTAATGGAGCAGAGGAGACATCAGTCGTGCAAAGATGAAACAGTTTGCTCTGCCCAGAGCCAAGTGACATGACAGTGTACAATTAACCAGACCATATCAGAATGCATGTTACTGAATGGACAAAGGAGCCACCAGCATCAAAAGGGGTTCCCAGTACAGAAATAATGAACCCAAAACTAAACTCACCGGAACCGGGAAAAAAACCTACCAACTTCAAGTGCCTGCAGATCACTCCCCAAGTGATACAGAAAGAAATTACAAGGAAACTTCAGTGAAGGAAACAGCATAAAAATGTATAATACCACACAGAAAAACATCATCAGAGAGAGAAATGGTTAGAGCTCTTTCACACAAACCAGAGAATTCCACCAAGCCTCATGGACTAGATGGCAAATTGAATAATCCTGAAGCTGTTCAGTAGAAAACTCAAAAGAATTTTTGCTCAGAACCTGAAATGAATGTAGGTCAATTTAGGGGACTGAAAAAGTGATTGTGAGCCCATTTTGGTGACATTTTGCTGTTTCTCTAACAGCTAATTCCAAAACTTCTCAATTTCAGGGTTTTACCAGGAGGACAAGTAACAGGTATGCTTTGCTTTTAGCCCCGTTTTTCTCCAAATGATTGAAGAATTGATATTTTCTGTCTTGCTAAAACTGCTTTTAATACTATCTTAATTCTATAGACCATTCTCTTCTTGTTACCCTCCCAGCTGCACACAAACAACCAGTTCTCCACTAACTCAGAGGGAAAGCTGTGCTGGAAATGCAAAAAGGGATGTCCTGGTGTTTTCCCTCTTTCCTGCCATACGCTTTCCCTAGGGAGACACTGGATGTGATGGGGAAAGTCAAATGAAGTCAGATCTTCTGAAACAAAATCAGCAACTGAAATTAATTATTTTTCTTTACACTTCTAACATATCGTGGAAAATAAACCTTGTGGACAAGTGAAACAGACCCCAACCAAAACTCATGCATGCCACATCCAGCGACCTCAGCCCCCTTTCCAGTTCACCAGCAGAAAACCTCACCAACCCCTCCCGCGGAGCCGAAGTGGGCTCTGCCTCGGCCAGGTGGAACTGTGGGACCGGGACTAAGCTTCAACAGGCGGGCAGCTGCCTTCACCCACCGTCGCCAGCTCGAATTGTCCCCACTGCCATTTTCTCCTGACCTTTACGACAGACCACGCGCTGGAGGACACCCACCCGCTGCCGCCCGCAGTCCCTGGAGCTGCTGGAGCTGCCCGCGGGTCGGTTCCCCGGCCGAAAGCGGGCAGCTCCCCCGGGAGCCCTCGCAGCGGGGCGAGGAGCCGCGGGCTCAGCCTGCCCTGGCCCACGCCCAGTCGGGCGGCGGGGCGGCGCGGGGCAGGCACGGGCAGACCTCTGCGACGCTGCCGATGTGTCGCGACACCTCGAGCATCCTCTCCCGGCCTGCCCCGGCGGGGCACCCCCGGCCCCCGACACCCGCCCCCACCGCTCCCCGCCCCGGGCGGCCGCCGGCGCCGCAAGTTTGTCCAGAGCCGCCCGTGCCCCCCGGGCTGTGCCGGGCTATGCCGGGCTGTGCCGGGCTGTGCCGGGCAGGGCGGCGCGGAGCCCCCCAGCACCGGGGCCGCTGCCTCCACTCACCCGAGGTCAGCTGCATCCAGGCACAGATCTTGTAGACGGTGGCTGTGTTGCAGAAGAAGAAGAGGATGAAGCAGACGATGCAGGCGATGATGAGCATCATCGAGAGCCCGATGAAGAAGGACGCAGCTTTGAAGGCTCCCGAGGGCAGGCTGGAGAAGTCCGTGAAGCTGCCCCGGCAGGTGAGTTCCCGGCTGAAGCCGTTGCCGATGCAGTAGTGGAAGAGCCCGAAGTAGCCCGCCTGCGGGGTGTCCACGCCGTCCCCGATCCAGTACGGCTGGATGAAGCACACCACGTTGACGATGGCAAAGCAGATGGTGAAGATGGCCCAGAGCACGCCGATGGCCCGCGAGTTCCGCACGTAGTTGGTGTGGTAGATCTTGGCCGCCTCCTGAGCTGGGAGCATCCCCGCTGCTACCGCTCCTGACGAGCCTGCTCCTGTAGCCGCCGTCCCTGCAGCCGCTCCGGGCATCCTCGCCGAGAAGGTGCCCCCCTCCCCTTCCTCCTCCTCCTCCTCCTCCTCCTCCTCCTCCGCCTTCTCCTCCTCCTCCCCGCTCGCTCCGCTCGACGCGACGCGCTCCGCCGCCGCCGCTGCGTGCGAGAGCCGGCGAGCCCCTCTGCCGGGCTTCAGCGGCTCGGCGCCAGCACCAGCAGCCGCGGCAGCGGCGGCAGCACCGGCACCGCCCGCCGCCGCCTATCGGGGCGCAGCGCAGCGCCGCCGGCCCCGCGTCCGCCCGCCCCGCAGCCCGCCCTCCGCCGCGGGCGCCACCCGCACACCGCCCGCCGCGGGCGTCCCGCCGCCCTGCGCAGCCACGGCGGGCACGGTCGGGGAGGTGGCGGCGGCCGGCGGGGCCGAGGGGCCGCCCGCGCCCTTTCCCCGGGCGAGCCCTGCGTGCGGCTCTCCTCAGCTCTCCCGGCCGGGGCAGCGGCTGCCGAGGGGTCCCGCTCCCGACGCTGCTCACGCAGCGCGTCCTGGGAGACATGTTCAGGGAGCGGGTTTTAAAGTTTAGAACGTGTCTGTGGTGTTCCCGTCCCCGCACAAAACATCATCATCGCCGCTCCAGCCGGGGGGCGGCACCTGCTGGGTCCCCCGTGGTGGGTGCCTGCCGTGGCGCGGGGGGAGCCGGCGGCGCTTGTCTCCCGGCTGAAGGAAACAAACGTACGCGAGGCAAAGCCTGGAGCTCGGGGGAGTCAGGAATCACCAGCAGGCTCGCCTCGGGAGCGGGATGGCGCCGCGGAGGAGAGCGCTGTGTGAGCACAGCGTGGCCGTGGGGGCGCGGTGGCGGCTCTCGGCGCGGCGCTCCGGCTGCGAGGAGAGAGGAGCCGCTCCGCTCCAGCCGAGTGCCTCCTGCCTGGCACCCGGCGCTCTGAGCGCGCTGAGCAGGCATGCAGCAGTGATTAGCATGCATTAAGGAGTAATTAGCATCTGGTAATAATCATTCCTGTGGCAGTGACACTTGGATTTGCAGTCCCCGACCTGTGCGCTGAGCCCGAGCTCACAGCGGGCAGAGCGAGCGTCCGGCTGCCGCGCGGTGCCGGCAGGGGCCGCGCTCAGTTAAACACTGGGCTCCGCGGCGCCGGCGGGAGGGACAGAGACTCCCTTGGAAATGATTCCTGGCATTCCGTACATTTTCAACTGTTTCAAGCAAAGTTCGATTTCTGCCCCGCGACTGCCACTAACCAGGCGCGGCCCAATGGAGCGGCAACGCCAGCCCTGCTCAAGTTTCCCGCAGAGGAGTTTAGGGAAGGGCAGCACCTGCTACCAGTTTCAGAGCGCCGCGCCCGTGTCGGGGACAGTCAGAGCTTGAGAAACTGTGGCCGAGGGGGTGGGAGCACAAAGGCAGCCGTGTCCTGCAGTCAGGCCGTGGGAGCACTGCCCTGGGCACACGTGGCACGGGTATGCTTAGACGCAGGAATCGTAGGCAGCGTGGACCCCAAATAACCACACTTGCCCCGATTTCTTAGATAGGCGGGTCCAAATGTGGAAAGTACTGCTAGCATCCCTGGAGATTTGGTTCACACCGAGCGCGCTGTGTCCAGGGCCGCCGGAGGTGCCCGGGTGTGCTCCGCTGCTCGTCCTGCTCTGCTGCCGCTGCCGTGCGTGACCGGACTGCTCATAGGCTGCCTTCAGAGAGGAGCTGAACTTGTTCCAGCCTCGAGCACCAGGAGGAGTGATGGTTCTTCGGTGCTCGCTCCTCTTTTCTTCGCGCTGAGGCTCGCCAGGCCCCAGGGCTCGGCGCAGGATGCTTCTCTTCATTGTCCTCTAAGCGGCCGTGGAGTATGGAGGTGCAGAAAATACGAGCCAGGTATAGAAGGCAGGAGAAACCTCAAGTGGCCCAAGACAATTTAGGAATGGAAGTCGGAGGGAGGGTTGGGAAAGATGTTGAGTGACATAATAATAATAAAAAAAAGTAGGTGGGGAAGGGATCTGCGCCAAATGGGAGGTTTAGCAGTAGTGGGCCTTTAAATATGCACACATACAATAAAGATGGCCCTAAGAATTTTTATGGCAGGAAGAAGAGATGTGACCTGTAAAGGAGTCAGGAGAGGAGAAACGAGTTGCTTGTAGAAGAAATGGGCCAACAGAGCTGATGAGGACAAAATACTGAGTTTGGAGAAAAAGCTGGGGAGCAAGAGTCAGACTAGGGTAGGTAAATGTAGAAACCAGTCTGGACAAGAAAAGAAGGGCCAGAGGCAGGGGAAGAATCTAGGGTTCTGCTGAAAAGCTGAGTTAAAGACTAAGGAAAGAACACCTTTGCCTGGCAGTGATTGGTTTGGTTGTCCTAGGATGTCCTCTCTGGTCTCCAGCACCGAAAGGGCACATAGTTCACATGGACTTCAGGTGATACCCACGAGTCCTTCAGTTTAATGCATTGGAAATGGGAAAGTGGTACTAAATGTCTGGTTTTGGGGGCACCTGAATATCTGTGGCTGTGTTCCTCTCTAGAGCTTTGAATCCTCCAGTCTCATTTTTTGATATTAGAATTTCTTCAAAATACCTGGAGACAGGCTTAAGAGTTCTTTTATGGTTCTTAACACAATTATATGTGTGCTTCGTAGCATTAGAAAATAGAATGTCTCTATGAGATAGAAGGTTGGCATATTCTGAACAAATGGTTGAAAGGCAGCTGGGACCTTATTTCTCAGAGCAGACCTTGCATGGATTTTGGTTGCAGCAGTTCTGAAAAAGAGGCCTCAGAAGGAGCCATACTGAGCTGCTGCTCATCTATGAAAGGTTTTAAGCATTGTGCCTGGCATCACAGAAGAAGCAGGGATGGTCCCCATCTCTTCCAGACAGCTTTCATCATCTTAATCCTCAGAAGATTATCCTTTTTCTCCAACAATATTGTACCTCCACAATTTTTCTCCCTGAAAATTAACTGGGTCCCAGCCCTGTGGCTGCCACCTAGTCTTATCTAAGAGAGTCTGACTTTGGAGCCAGGATTTTCACCAGAAGTTTCTTCAACAGGTGAAATAGGATTCTCATCATCCTGATCTTTCTGGACAGCAGCTGCTGTCTCCCACACCTGATAAGGCAGGATCCTGTTTACCAATTAGCATGTGAGCATGTAATGCAGAACAAAGGGATGTAAATCAAGTGGCACAGACAGATCTTTTTTTGGCACATCCTCTTCAGTACTGGATTTTCCAAACATAATATTCCTCTTAAAACATTTTCATGTGCATGTGTGGTTAAAAATAGGCAAGTTTAAAGAAAATTTATACAACCTTTAAAGTATAATTGTGCCTCAAATGTGCCTGGAGAACACTACTCATTTTATCTGACCATGGATGTGGTCAGATGTGCTCATTTTTTGTTAATATAGATCATTACACACTACCCAAAATAAAAGCTTATAATAAAAGTTATTTAGTTAATGTTTCTAATCACAACATTTCTCTTTGGAACATGTCAGTCACTTGCAGTGGTGGGGCTGTGGTGGAGAACTACTCAAATATTTTGTTTGGACCACTCTGTAGGGAGGCTGCTGTGCCAAGAAACCTTTGGACACAGTGGGTAAGAAGAACAGATGCACTCAGTTGCTGGGGCATGGGTAACATCTGGGAAGAAATGCACATCTGGGAATTCATTGATATTCACATGGTGGGAAACAAAGAAAAAAACAGAAGGGGAAGGGGTGAATACATGGCTGGAGAAGAGTTATCAAGAGAGGAATTACACAAAAAAAGTCTGTGAGGAGGGAATGGGGTATTAGGAGGTTACATGTCAATTAATCAATAGCAATAAAGTGTCAGACAATGAATGATTAGTTTTGATGACAGTTGAGGTAACTGGGAAAAATTGTTGAGCACATGAGGTCAGGCTCACACAGACATAGGCAAACTTCCATGACAGGGATGTCCCTGCTCAGACACATGACTGTTTCCTGCCAGCCCCTCTGAACAGCGTCTCCCATCCAACCCTCTAAAACTTCAGCTCTGCCTCAGAAGTTTTTTCCTCTGGTTCATAGAGAGGCTTCCAGGAGCTTTTTCATATCTGTAGCTGCATGCAAGTGTTCATGAGCTGCTCTATCCCTCAGGGCTTTCCTCCCATTTTTCTGTGGTATCACTTGCTGGCTACCATGTTCACCCAGTGCCTACCAATAACTTAGATTTTTCACTCTCACCCCAGAGTGATAGCTCTGAATGTAATAGCTACATTCAACTGTTACAATCTTTTAACAAAACAGATACAGATATGTGCAAAACCCAGACTCATTTAATTTGGGCTGGCCTAGGTCCTGGGTCTTGAAGAGAAGGAAGGAAGGCAAGTCAAGATAGACTTGAGGCTTCTCTGACTTGTATCCAAGGATATGTGGATATCCAGAGCAGAAGCTGAAACATCCTAAGGTCTCCTCTCTGCTCCTGCTCTCCATCATTCAGTGGGAGCTGAAGCTAGGGCAACACTAAAGACCAAGAAGGACTTTTTGTGCTGTTTCACTGATGATTGAGATAACCTATGCATGTTTTGCACTTGATTACAGCTTAACTGCTGGTAGACAGCATCTTAAGGCATGCCTCGGTCCGGGTTGATTTTTCCCTGGTCCCAGGCTGTCTAGGGCTGGCTGCAAACAGTTGCTGATGTGTTTGCTCAGGGCAGCAGGATGATGACCTTTAAGCAGCTCCAATGTGCAGCTCCAGCAGCCCCACAGTGCAGCCTGGTGTATATTGCCCTGTTGCTGTGGCAACCCACAGCCTCACCAGTGGTCTATCACAAAGCATTAACTTTAACATTATGTCTTATTTTATTATAGTTTCTGCACATTTTGGCTTTCTTTCCCCTGGGACACAGCTGCACTGGTGAAATGTTTCTTCTTGGGGAGTTGGAAATGGCATCTATTTCTGTAGTGTTAACAACTGTGGGAGAGGCACAGCAAAGGGCTGGCTAGAATTACTGGCATTGATATTGCTGAAACTCTTCTTGCCACCACTGTGTCAGTCAGAAATGGTCCAATTTAGGCCTACTGTAAAAATTAAGAGAGTAGCGTAGATTGACACCATTTCTCTTGAATTTAGTCCTACTGATGGTGGTGATAGTGGAGGGGGAGTCCTGTAGGTCATAAGGGCAGAACTGGGAAGCACATTGTGGCCATTCTGGAGTCACATTCCCAGAAGTTTGCAGGACTTGATAGCCCAAAGCACCAGGCAATGGTGGGCAATCACCAGGAAA